TCTTCTCCCTCCTTCTCCTCCTCCTCCTCTTCTTCTCTCCCCTCTTCTTCGTCATCTTCTTCTTCTTCTCCCTCCTCCTCCTCCTCTTCTTCTCCTCGTTCTCCGTTAGCCATAGCCGTTTTTTAATTTTTTTCCCGAAGCTGCTTCACCTTCCTTGTGTTTTTCGTCTTCTTTTTCTTCCTTTTCCTCCTCGTCCCACTCTTCTCCTCCCTCTTTTTCGTCATCTTCTTCTTCCTCCTCCTCTTTTTCTCGTCCTCCTCCATTAGCCATAGCCGGTCTTTTATTTTTCCACATCACCGCGGGAGACATCATGGTGGGTGATGGCAGGCTACACTGATGCAGGCAAGGGGAAAGAGCAAGTGCAGCCTGTTTTCAAGAAGCCTTCGTGAAGCAAGTCAGCGCAGAAACAACGATGACCATCAACAAGGAAGCAACACCTGCCAGTGATCCTGATCTCTTTCAAGCTAAGGACGGGAACGAGCATAAGAAGCTGTTGAAGAAGAATGCAGTCTGGGAGTGGGTCGAACAGGGACAGGGGGCAGTCCCAACAGGAGGTGGGGAGTATTGGCTGAAGTGTCACCTTTGTTCCAAGGTGTTCAGGGTTCATCAACAAAGGCAGTGGAGCATTTTTTGTAAATGCAGAAACGGTGTCCTTTTCGAACGGGGCAGATTGTGGATGAGCTTGTTACTCAGGGCGGCAAGGTCAACCCCAAAGACAAGAACACCCGATACTTGCTGCAAAACTTCAGAGGACTCGCCAGGGGCGCAGAGGGGGGCGATGAAGCTCTTGAGGATGCATCAGATGCAGACGATCCATCATCTTGGCCAGTGCCTCCGCCTGTTCGAGGGCGGTCTGTTCCACAATTTGCTGCAACGATTGCAACAACAGAGGACAAAGCTGCAATGAAGGGTGATGATGGCACCGGTGGAGGGGCGGCCCGTGTTGTGCTGGCAAAGACGCAGACCACAATAAGAAAGTGGATTGACGATGACGCACAAAAAACGTTGGACATTGCGCGGGTGGAAGCAATGTTCAGGGCTGGAATTGCTTTCAACTTCTTGAACTTCGACACCACACAGGTTCTTCATGACGCTTACTTGGAGGTTGCCAACGCAAAGCCGAAGGTGAAGTTGCCTACCTACAAGCATACGTGGACTGTCATGTTGAACTTCATCTTCCTGAAGGTTCAAAAGTCAATCAACCCCTTCACTGCTTGTTGGGACAAAACCGGCTGCACATTCATCAGAGACGGATCGACAGATCGTAAGAACCGGCCGGTCATGAATTTCCTAGCAGCGGGGGAGAAAAGAGCAGTTCTGGTGACCACAATTTACATGACTGGGAGGAAGAAAAATGCAGCAGCATTGACGAAGTTATGGGAGCAAGTGATGAGGGAGATCAGATTCAAACGGATCAACGCGATCTGCACAGACAACGCTGAGGTTACCAAGAAGGCGGCGCAAATCTTGGAGAGGCGGACCGACAGAGACGTTGCAAGGATACCGTGGGAGAAGCTGCAGGAAAAAACCGACCTTGTCTACCACACTGTGAGGTCAGAGAGTTGGTGGGCCATAATGAGGAAAATTGTGGTAATTGCAGAGCCGGTGTACAGCCTCCTGAAGAGGATGGACAAGGAAGGAGTTTCTCCCACCAACCTCATGGAGTTCGACGATCTCATTGCGAGGGAATTAACAAACGTCGTACTCACAAAGAAGGAGAGGGAGGATGTGATGGACAAGGTCAAGGACCGCATGCAAATGATGCGGCAGCCCGTTCATGCAGCTGCGTTTTTGTTGGATCCACGGAGGAGAGACCCAGGTTGGCTCAACGATCCGGACAACGCCCTCGTGCAAAACGCAATGCGCTTCTTCTGCAGGCAGAGCAGAGCGGAGTGGGATTCGAAGCCACACATGGACATGCGGGATCATCTGTACGAGCTTTTGAGAGAGTCTGGGGAAGGGGAAGTCAGGACAGATGAACACATGTGGACACCAGTTGTCATCAAGCAAGCAACGCGACGTACGCCTGCGGACTGGTGGACCTTGTACGGTGGGGATGTTCCACAGTTGCAGCAGATCGCCATCAACGTGTTGGGAATGTGGAGCACGGCGACACCCGCGGAGCGGAACTGGGCATCGATGGACTTTGTCCATTCGAAGCGCAGAAACAGTCTCTCGCCAGACTCCTTGGAGAAGTTGGTTTACATTCACTGGAACATGCAGTTGCTACGTGTTCCAAATAGCAAGGACAATGGCTACGTCGATGTGTGGGGATCCTTCTTCGAGCCGTTGATGGAGCCGACAGCGAAAGATGTAGCTGTTGAGGACGCCACGAAGGATAAGACAACGGACAATATTGAAGAGGAAAAGAGGCAAAAGAGACTGAAGAAGACTCCGAAAGACCGGATTCCGAAGAGCCTGCTGGATGACGACTCAAGTGGGAGCAACGAATTTGAGGATCTCGTGTGGAAGGGGAAGTGTTGGAACGAGTCGACTTCCGAGGAGAGTGATGGTGAGGATGACATTGGGGAGGACTCAGATTTCGAGTTGGTGGGCAAGCCGGCGGTGCTAGCCTACATACGTCGGTGGGAGGCTTAGGACGCGAGAGAAGGAGGCAGAGGTGCTGCCTTCCAAAGCCATCGACAGGCTGGACACCGATATCGAGTTCTTGGCGCACCCTACGCCTGATGCCACCGAGGAGGAAGCTGCTCGCTAGCAGAAAAAAATGTGCAGCAAGAAGGAGAAAAAAGTGTGCCGCAAGATGGGGGTGATATGGAGGATGCAGAAAAAACTCAGCAGCAAGACGGAGAGGAACTGCAGCAACCAGCACCACCAACGGTTAACGCACGAAGACCCCGCCCACCGCCACTACAGCAGTCTGCACCGCAAGAGCCGCGGGAGGACCAGCAGGTTGTGACTGCGGAGCAGCCAGAAAAACTCGGATCAACGGTGAGAGGAGCAGCGGCCCACTACGGCAGACCCCCGTACCCAGCACAAAATGAGGATGCCCAACACGACAACATCTGGAAAAGCAGGGTGGGGCGAAAGAGGAAGGCTCCGGTGAATGAAGTCCCCACACCACGTCGCCACCGCGGGAGGCCCCACAAGGAGAAGACGGGGCACAAAGCTGCATTAAAGCCGGAATGTGGTTGTGGAAGGCCCCGCAAAGTGCAAGTCTCGGAGGATGACCCGGACTCAGATGGGGGCGGTGCAGAGTCCCCGGACGACGAGATTAGCGAAGGGGATTCCAAATGAGAGAGAGAGAGAGAGAGAGAGAGAGAGAGAGAGAGAGAGAGAGAGAGAGAGAGAGAGAGAGAGAGAGAGAGAGAGAGAGTTCCACCGTAAACATGACAAACTGTTGCAGATCATCATCTTTATTTAATTTTCCGTCATGAATCTCATCTTTCCGTTCTTCTTCTTCTACTTCTTCTCCTCCTTCCCTCTTTTCTTCTTCTGCTATTCTTCTTTTTTTTTCTTTGCCCTTCCGTTCTTCACAATCTTCTACCTCATAGTATAGTCTGGCTTCACCTCCATTTTGTATGCATGATGTTGTTTGCAGGCCTGCAAACCCTGAACGCAACACCCCCCTTACCACTCTCGACCTCGAACCCACAACCCCCCCCCTCCCTCCCGGCACACCAGAAATAAAAAATTCCAACATTCAAAGTTTTATTGCGGAATCTGACAGATCTCGGCAAGTGCAGTCAGATCCCGCGAAGAAAAAAAAAAAAAAAAGAATTGGCCATTTTTTTGGGTCATCCGGTTTGCCGGTTGACCCCCCCTCAACCGGTCCAGGCCTGGTTGGACCGGGCCAGCTCGACCGGCCGGTTGCCGGCCCAGCCCTGATACAAGAGAGTTTTCATTAAAAAATAAATTAAAAAAAATCAAAAGGGGAGGCAGTTACTGGTGCTTGTTCTACTTCCATTTGATAAGGTGCAACACTTCTTTCAGAGTGTCTAAGTCATCCCACCTTCAATACCGTCTCTCAAGCCTTCCCACGCAACAACTTCCTGGCCCTGCCCCTCCCCACCCTGCCCTGTCCCTCCCCCGCTTCCCGCCCTGCCCAATCAACAGCCGGCCAGCCTACGACAACATCCACACACCATTAATTTCATAGCCGACTGCTGATAACAGATGGTCTTTGCTACGTCCTCAGTTGTCCACTAAAAGTCAAGCAGAGATAGCCGACTGCCTCCTTATACAGGGGATGGGAGCGCCAGCATTTGGCTGTCCAGTATTGTTAATGAGGAAAGTGAAGTTCACCAACATTGCAAGAGCGAGAAGCTAAAGAAGGGACCAAGGTTCATGAATACCGGTAGTGTTTCACGAGTGGATTCCCCCAGTGTTACCGGGGGCTGAGGATTCCTATGAATAGTAAACATCGGGAAATGATAGGGGGAATGGTAGGACAAAAAAGAAGTACAGGTCACTTCAGGATACAAACAGGGTCTGAGGACAAGTATGAGTCTCGCGATGGGATTGAGACTAGCAGATGCCCGGAGGGCAACAGGGTAGCTAGACTAGGACAAAGGAAAATTATAACCCGAAACTGAACTTTGTCAGGGTTGTACCTTTGGGATGCTGGACCCGGTTTCCAGCAGGTGTTGCTCCCCACCAATAGATGGAGCGCTGTCTTTGAAAAAAAAAAAAAAAAAAAAAAAAAAACAGCAGAATGCTTGGATACTGTATTTCTGGGAAGATGCAGTAGAAGAGAAAAACAAAACAAAACAGACCCAAATCGCCCGCCCCCAGTTTTCAACGGAAAAAAACTCTATCTTTCAAAAGGGAAACAATGGACGGTGCCCTATTCTAAATTGCAAAGACCTTGACAAAGTAACCTGCCCTGCAACCGGTCTTAGGGACGACTGCGACTGGACCCTATTTTCTGCTGTCGGACGACTGCGACTGGACCCTATTTTCTGCTGTCGGAGACCCCAACCGAACCTGTCCTAGTGAAGCTGTACTGCACGACCTTACAGAAAATGGAAAGAACATGAAACGACGAAAACGGAATCCACACAAGCACAGCCTCCTGGCTGTGAAAACGACGAAAATGGAACCCACACAAATGGAGCCTCCTGGCTGCGAATTGAACCAAAAGAAATTGGAAACCAAGTACTCCAGGCATCTGCCGAGTAGCCTGCAGATAGCCCACCAAAGACAAAGCCTGCAGAACCCGAACCAAAAAGGAAGAAAATGAGTGAGTTTACAGCCCCTTTCAAAACTACTTATGTTCAGCCTCAGTTTTTGGGGCTGTCTCCAGACCAAATGGCTGGCGGCGCCAGCCAAAAGGAGTCTCACACCGTCGCATTTTTTTTTTCCAACTGGCAAGGTGTTTCCGGCCCTGGAGAAAAGTTCCTCTGAAGTTCTGGTGGTTGAAAAATCAAGGTGAAACTGCTCTGGGTCAGATTTTTTGAGTTCGAAATGGACAGAAAAAAGTTTAAAAAGCAGGTTCCGGCGGAATGGTCAGGGCCCAGGGGTTGAGTTCGGAAAGGCAAAAGAAACATTACCGGGCAGGCGTATCAGGGCTGCAGTTCGTAACAGCAGAAAAAGCCTGTCAGCCGTATCTTGCTTTTTTTTTTTTTTTCTTGTTGTTGTTCATTTTCGTGGAGTACCAGAAAATAAAATACGATGGCCCAGATGTCTACGCCACGTCCGTGACTGGTCCACGACCGAGATGTCTACGCCACGCCCTTAGCTGGCGCACCGCCGAGCTGTCTAGGTTACCCCCGTGGCTGGGCCATGGCCAAGATGCATAGTAGGATAGTCGATGTTGATTGGTCCCCCCCCTTCCCCCCCCTTCAACCTCGTTGTCCGGCTGAGGATACGAGTAGGATAATCGATGCTGATTGGTGTTACCCGGCCCGGTGTTGATTGCCCGTGGGAGGGAGGTGGGATGCTTAGGGAGTAGTTTGCAGGTGGTCAATCCTTCCCTTGCACAGGGAAGTAATCAATGCCCCTGCTCTCCTTCGGACAATAGGTATAGGGACTCGAGGTCTAGAGCATACATATTACATAACTGATAGTGATTCGAGTTAGGGGTTACTTCGGCGCAGTCACGAAAACAGTTTGTAATTGCATTTGAAACTGCGTTTTAGCAGTTTAGGGCCTCGCCACACCAATGTCGAAACATCACTAAATTCGACATATGTCACGAGATTTTCGACATTCCCTCTTTCGGCAGAAAACCCCTCTTGGCCACACCGCATGTCCAAGTGAAGAATTCACGAGTAGTATGCACAAAAGAGACAAACTGGGGTGAAGATAGGACAAGCATTGGTGCGTTCTCTTTTTCGACATTCGGGCAAGAATTCGACATCCCATCGGAGGACTGTTGAAAATGTCCAAGTTGCAGGCTGGGAAACCAGCCCRTCTCGAGAGGAGGTGTCGAAACCCTTTCCCTGACAGCTCCTGAATTTTTTTTGCATCCCGGATTTCAACATGCTGTGTGGCGAGGAGAAAATGTCGAAAATTCAGTTTTCGACATTGGTGTGGCGAGGCCCTTAGTCAGGGCCCGAGTTTCAAGTGCAGTTGAAACTCGGCCCTATGCAGTTCAGTCAGGGCCCTCTTCTATCCAGGAACAGCAGATTTCAAAAAAAAAAAAAAAAAAAAAAAACATCCCTTATGCTGTGATTGGGGTCAGATACAGGATGCTACAGTTGTCTGGAACTGAATGAAGTGAGGCAGTTCGCTGCCTCGCGTGGAATCCGCCCTGCCTGTCTGGCAGGGGGCTACAAGGACCTCACAACAAGAAACAAAAAAGGAAAACGACCTGTTTCATGTTCCTCACTTCCTGGCCAGATACATTCCTCAAAGCACTGGTTACCTGAGGGCCTTCCTGACGTCCTCTTTTCTTTACTTTTTTATTTCTTCTTTTTCTTTTTTCTTTTTTTGGCCTCCATCCCTGCCCCGATCCCCCCACTTCTTCGGAGTAGGCTACTCTTGAGACTTTGCATTTGCCTGTGAAGGGTAGTGCCTGCGAATCTTGGCTGTGGCCGAGACATCTCGGCCGTGGCCAATCTGGGGTGTGGCCGAGACATCTCGGCCGTGGCCAGTCTGGGGCGTGGCCGAGACATCTCGGCCGTGGCCAGTCTGGGGTGTGGCCGAGACATCTCGGCCGTGGCCAGTCTGGGGTGTGGCCGAGACATCTCGGCCGTGGGCCAACCATGGGCCTGTTTGTTTGTTTGTTTGTTTGTTTGTTTGTTTGTTTGTTTGTTTGTTTTTCCAGCCACGGTGCGGCGCATTCAAGAGACCGAAAAAATAAAAAATAAAAAATAAAACTGAAGAAAGAAAGAAACGGGCCGCGCCGCGCCGCGCACGGCGCTCTACCGGGGAAAAAAAAAAAAAAAAAAAAACATGAAAGAAAGAAACGGCCATGTGCCTGACTGAACTGCTAGAAAAACCCAGCCCGAGTTTCAAACTGCTAAAACGCAGTTTCAAATGCAATTGAAACTCGGGGCCCTGACTAAACTGCTAAAACGCAGTTTCAAATGCAATTACAAACTGTAACCCTGACTGCGCCGTAGTTTTCTCTTCAAGTTAATACTTTGATTGATAAAGATCATACACATCACAATACATCACATCTTTTTTAGAGTTTTGTGTTTAGATTTTGATAGATATTGAACACTTACATC